AGGGGAGAGGGGTAGGAAGGTAATATAATAGCTAAACCTGCTTTCCGTGTTCCTCTGTCCACTGCGGCTCCACTGCTTTACGTTAAGGTGCTCAGTAGGTGAATGAGGATTCCATATGTGACTGTTGTGGTTTCTTATTTATTGCAGACTGTGCAGGTGATAGGGAAGAGGATTGTGTTCGGTTAACAAGGAGCCGTGTACGGTTAAGTAATAATGGCCCAGGTGTTGTGGCCCGTGCGAGCAGATTTGATGGTGCTGATGGTGCGAGGAGATCGCTCACTTCAGGAGTTGATGGTGCCGATGGTGCTGATGGTGCAAGAAGGTCGCTCGCTTCAGGAGTTGATGGTGCCGATGGTGCTGATGGTGCAAGGAGTTCGCTCACTTCAGGAGTTGATGGTGCTGATGGTGCTGATGGTGCTGATGGTGCAAGGAGGTCGCTCGCTTCAGGAGTTGATGGTGCTGATGGTCCTGATGGTGCAAGGAGATCCCTCACTTCAGGAGTTGATGTTGGTGCTGGTGCAAAGAGATCGCTCGCTTCAGGAGTTGATGATGCTGATGATGCTGATGGTGCACAGAGATCGCTCGCTTCAGGAGTTGATGGTGCTGATGGGGCGAGGAGATCGCTCACTTTAGGAGCTGATGGTGCTGATGGTGCTGATGGTGCAAGGAGATCGATTGCTTCAGGAGCTGATGGTGCTGATGGTGCTGATGGTGCTGATGGTGCTGATGGTGCTGATGGTGCTGATGGTGCAAAGAGATCGCTCACTTCAAGAGTTGATGGTGCCGATGGTGCTGATGGTGCAAGCCAATCGTTCACTTCAGGAGTTGGTGTTGATGGTGCTGACGGTGGAAGGAGATCGCTCACTTCAGGAGTTGATGATGCTGATGGTGCTGATGGTGCTGATGGCGCTGATGGTGCTGATGGTGCAAGGGGATCACTTGCTGCAGGAGTTGATGGTGCTGATGGAGCAAGGAGATCGCTCCCTTCAGGAGTTGATGGTGGTGATGGTCGTGATGGTGCAAAGAGATCGCTCACTTCAGGACTCGATGGTGCCGATGGTGGTGATGGTGCAAGGAGATCACTCACTTCAGGAGTTGATGGTGGTGATGGTGCAAGGAGATCACTCACTTCAGGAGTTGATGGTGGTGATGGTGGTGATGGTGGTGATGGTGGTGATGGTGCAAGGAGATCGCTCGCTTCAGGAGTTGATGGTGCTGATGGTGCTGATGGTGCAACGAGATCGCTCACTTCAGGAGTTGATGGTACTAATGGTGCTGATGCTGCTGATGCTGCTGATGCTGCTGATGCTGCTGATGCTGCTGATGCTGCTGATGTTGCTGGTAGTGTTGAGATTATGAAGAAGAGGTCAGGGCTTTTGGGGGAAGGTGGCCACGCGAGAGATAATGTTGTCAGAAAAATTCAAAACAAGAGGCATGCTGAGATTATGGTGAGTGGGAAAGTCTTTGAACTGGTCAATTTGGATAGTGACGATGACGAGCCACTTGCTGATCATGTGGGAGTGAAAATCTGGGGCAGTCGTAAATGTGGCAGTGACAAGAGTGGTGGTGATGTAAATATTCTCGCAGACAACACCAACAGATTGCCAGTTTCTGCCAATCCCGAATCGCGAACAATGACCAACATTGACTGCAGGGGATTCGACCTCAACATTAGGCCAGAGGAAAATGTTGTTGTTGCTCCTGAAGATGTTACTATTTCATGTACTGAAGGTGTGGTCAATGGTGGACGTAGCCAGTCCCACAACGGGGCTGATGAGAACTGTATCGAAACAGTGCAGGGAAGAAAAGATGTAGGTGTTTGCAGGGCCAGAGTGGAGCCGAGGTTGTGTGTGGACGGTATCAAGTACAGGTGGCAAGGTGCATGTACAAGACTTGAGAATAAACGGAATGGCATGGCAGTGGTGGATCAGGAGTGTGTAAAGTGTGGCGACAATGTTGAGTGGCAGCCTGCTTCTGAGGTGGGGGTTGGAAAAGTTGGAAGTACAGTGAAAAGGTTGCGGCCAATGAAGGTGGTGCTGGCAAAACGGCGCAAGTTCGATTCTTAGTGGTAGGGGTCAGCCATGTATACTAGGTGGCTCATGGAGACGTGATGGGAGGGGAGGCGCACCCTAGATGGTAGAAGCAGCAATTTGGAATGGCTCTGCAAATTGTCTGTTATCTGACTGCATTGTAAGGGCTTGTGATTTACCGGTTCTAACTTCTGTCATGTCAAAGTTTGTGCGGGACAAACACTCTACTGGCCAGTTGTCAAGGAGTGTACGGGGCAAGACACTGATGTGAATTCAACAAATGCGGGATGCCTACAAGTGTGACACGTGACAGCTGAGAGCTTTGCAGGTATGCCCAAGCTGAATCCCATACCTCATGACGGTTGTAGATAAAACCAATAAGTACCAGTGCATCTTTGTCCGTGTCAAAAAGTAGTATGTTTGATGATAAAATCTCTCTCTCTCTGTCTCTCTCTCTGTCTCTCTCTCTCTCTCTCTCTCTCTCTCTCTCTCTCTCTCTCTCTCTCTCTCTCTCTCTC